AGATGTAAAATATCATTTTCAAACCCAGAGTTAACGTTATTAATCTGGTTTGGATTTTTTTCTATATGCATTCATAAGTATTGTATATGCATATTGCATTACTTTGATACATATATAATCAAACATATGTATATGTATACTAATAAAGTAAACATCTATATATATATATTCTTGGTAAGTATAATAGGTTGATTTGCACACGTATTGCGAATGAATCAACTTCATGTATAAATACAGTTCCATAGACTACGTGAGTTAGGAAACGAAAAATCGGAGAACTAATATTCAGCTTCCTGAAAGTTTCATGAACAATACTGAAATATCAATAATTTTACCGCTTATATGACTTGATCTCATTTGTAATGATTTTATATGTAAGTATGTACAAAAAGTTAAGGCAATGAGTGTTTCTACTTAAATATTTGAATATATAGTATATAGTATATACTACTTGTTTATTGTTATATAGATTTGTAAATAAACTCTGTACTTGCTTCATATATGTGGGGATGTATTTTTATTGATGACTTTTACAGCGAAGTTTAAGTCAGGGCAAAGTTGTTCAAAATTATCCGTACAAACATTTCCCACATATGCGATTTTTCCGTTTCTTTGGTTCCCTATAAATCAACCCAGTCTAAGTACATTCATTCATATAGTACAGTGCAATTCCCCTTTGCGGACAGTTCTCATAGCCGAACGTCTCCCATAACAAAAGAAATTTCATGAACACAATGTTTTCATTATTATTTTCATGTAAAAGCAATTCTTATAACCGGACATGGCCGGACACGGAAACTATTTTGCTAATATTTCGTAAAAAATATCTGTGATAAACCGTACAACATTTCATGAAATTTGTTAAGAAAAATCTACACAATTTATAGTTCCCAGTTTTTTTTAATTATTTTTACTTTTTCGTGATTTGAGACAGTTATTTAAAAAGAATACGTAAAATGATTACAGCACACAAATTGCCTTACACTGGTGCCGCTGGTTCAGGGTGGCTCAACGGAAACTAATGAGATAATCATTATTCATTCACTCCTGGCAGACATTGACTTATATATGTATATTAATTCGGCAGGTATATAGTTTTCAATTTAATCTTCTTATATTTTAAACACTCGTTTTGCTAACCCCCCATATATGGATACTTCCCTTAGCCGCCAAAAACACTGAGCCGGTCGGTGTCCGGTTATAAGGAATTTTACTTACTTAAGACCTCACTGATTCACATATCGATACGAATGCTTAGAAGTCTATGAAAAAAACTATAAAAAATGTGGATATGTGTTCGTACATATGAAAGCAAGATCATAAACGTGTTTTACACAACACAATTTTTGGCCCATATGTATGTATGTATGTGTACGTATGTATATACAGAGCTTTTTTATTTTCTCTTTTGACTGGTCAGTGCATTATTATAATGAAACCGGAGTTACTGTCCTATTTTGCAACAGTATATACATTTTACATTCTCGCAACATGTTGCACAAAGTATCAACTACCTCTGCCTTATACTGTTACCAATCTTAACGAGTTAGATGTAGAGTTATGGACATACATACATATGTGCATGTTCATAATGAAGATATGAACTGATCCAGCTAATAGTCGTCTGTCAACGTCAACAAAACGTTAATATTAAAAATCAGAAGAGGTCCAATAACTCACTAACCAACCGCGATTCCTATGAAGGGCTCTGTATAAAAAGAGTCTCAAAATCAAATTAAGAAATTTTGTGCTATGCTTAATTCTAAGCATTTGATTGATGGATTCTTAATCTCTAATCATAATTGTATATTCACATGCGTATAGTATGTACAAATATACCATATGTACATGTATGTATGTATGTATGTATACGAATGCGTTTAGAAATACTTTTAAATATCATATACTATTTGCATATACATACATATGTATGTAACTGTTTGCTGTTACATTTACTCGCAATGCGTTTGAGATATCTGATTCTTCAAAACGTGTTCTGTTAATAACCTAAWCCTATGAAAATTAAATAAGAGGCCTTAAAGAAGTTTTGACACCGTCTTTCCATATTGAAAATAGAGTTTTACCTTTATTTAAATATTTCGCATCTACCTGCATTCGCATTATTACTCTATATGACTATGACTCTATATGCATATAGTCAGAGAATGTTAATGAAATTTCCAGATAAATACATATGTATGTATGTACATACATATATAAACGTATATTTGCATGCAAAATGTGTATATATGTATGCATAAGCATGATGTCTGCACACTTAGACAATATATTTCATGTCGAATCCATTCATGAAAGAATCCCACACACCAACAACAAAGAAAACAACCAGAATACATGCCAAAGACTGCTAAATAACTCGTTAAATTTTAAATACCTTATAAACTGGAACGGAATGGGAGAAACATCGTGGTATCGAAACAAAAATTTGATAAACAAACTAATCTGAAAGTTATGGTAAAATATTTACCACCTGCGATAAGAAAACCTAGCAATCATGTGAAGAGAGAAAAAAAGGAGAGAGTCGAGTTAGCAGACAAGTGATGCCAGAATTT